CCTCCTGCTCTGCTCCCCATTCTGCCTCTGGTGAATCCTCTTACCCCCTGCATTTCTGTCTTGAACCCCAGTTCTTGTATGCATAAATAAATAAATCTTTTTAAAAATTGAGTTACACACTCATAACAGGATTCTAGAAAACTTAAATAAGGAACCAGGAAAAAGAATATAAGAAAGAAGGGCCTCCCCGGTGGCGCAGCGGTTGAGCGCTGGGTTGTGAAGCTCCCCGCGGCCTCTGCGGCGCCGGTTCGATCCCCGGCTGCTCCCCAGCCACCAGAGGAGGGTCCCACATGGCGCGCAGACCTCTCCTGCTGCCCGCTGCTCCCCTCAGCAGTGTACTTCGGTCCTTCTGCCTGCTCTGCTCCCCGCTCTGGCTCTGGTGAATTCTCTCAACCTTCCCGCGCTTCTGACTGTACCCAGTGCTTGTATAAATAAATAAATAAATCTTAAAAAAAAAAAAAAAAAAAGAATATAAGAAAGAAAAAAATCAAAATCAACAAACAACTATGAACCGGAGACACACTATGGAGGGGAGGGCGGGGAAAGGAGGGATTGGGGTCAAAATAAGGGGGCTGCAATTATATGGGGAATATAAAAATAAAAAAAATAAATTGAGTTACAATTTGATTTCTGTCATTTTTGAGTATATATCTAAAGCATGTTAAGATGTTCATGCAAAAACCTGTACACGAATGTACATAGCAGCTTTTCTTGATAATAAGCCAAAAAAGAGTAGCGGCCAAATGTCTATCAACAGATTAAGTAGATACATAGAATGTTGTATATACAACAACAGAATAATTGGCAAAACAACAGGTTACAGTGTGGATGAACATTGAAAAACTTTGTGCTCAGTGAAAGACATTTATAAAAGGTGACAGATTGTATAATATCATGGGTACGAAAGTCCACAAAAGGCCAATCATAGAAAGTTGTGGTTGCCAGGGACTTGGGGAAGAGGAATAGGTTAGGGAATTTCTGAATCGTGGTGTTGTGTGCACAACTCTGATTATACTAGAAACCATTCAGCTATGCATCTGAGGTTGAATATTATGGTATGTGAATTATCTCCATGAAATTGGGAAACAAAGTGTGTACAAACCAAAAACTGAGAAGTTATTTGCAACATACATAACCCACAAAGGAGCACTATAAAAAAAGCTCAGTACTGGGGCATCCCCGGTGGCACAGCGGTTAAAGACAGAGCTATCGAGCTATCTACAGCCACTGCAGCACAAGTTTGATCCCCAGCCAGCCAGGCAGCAACCCACATGTCCCAGCAGACCTCTCCTGTCTTGCCCGCTGCTCCCCTCAGCAGTGTATTTCAGTCGGTCTGCCTGTTCTGTTCCTCACTCTGTCTCTGGTGAATCCTCTCACCCCCTTCACCTTTGGCTTACACCCCAGTTCTTGTATGCATAAATAAATATTTAAAAAAAAAAAAACCTCAGTACCAAAAAAACAATCCTTTAAAATATGCAAAAAATTAATTTTCCTAGAAAAGACTAATATAACAGAATTTTACAATTGCTCAACCTTATTAATAATCACAAATTATTTTAAGAACAAATGAGATATAACTTCAGACCCACTAAGACTGGCAAAAGTTATGAAGTCTGATGATGGTAGTAGGTGTATATAATCACTTTGAAAACCAGTATCATTATTTAGAAAATTAAATATGCACATAATTTATGATCTAAGTGATTCCACATATGTATACTACAGCTCTCACACACTTATGCTAAGATCCCCATACAACATTGTTCAGTATAGCAAATATCTGAAATAATCAAATGTCCATCATTAAACAAAGGATAATATAGTCACACAATATATATCATATATTAGTGAAATTATAGCTAAATATGACATTACTACAGCTACAAACATGGATGAATCTTAAAAGCAGAACAGTAAAAAAGCAACTTGTCAAAGTCCAAAAAATATAATGCATTTTTATAAAGCTCCAATGCAAGAGCTAAACAATATATTGTTTAGAGATATATAATAAAATGATACTAACAGTCAAGGTAATCAGCATTAAATTCAGGGTAGTTAACCTCAAGGGTCTAAGGCAAAGGATATAGGGGAAGCACATTAAGATAGATGCAATTGCACTGGTGATATTCAAGGTTGCAAGCTGAGTGATGATTTCATAGGTATTCATTTATTATTATCCTTCATTTATTATGTTTCATGATATCTATCATGTGTAGTCTTTTATATTTATATAATATCATAATAGCATTTAAGAGAAAAGGAAAAAAGATAGAGAGAAAACAAGCAGTATCATCCAAAAGAAAGTTGGCATAGTTTTAGCATATCAGACTAGATATTCTGGAAAAAGCATGATTAAGAATAAAATATTCCCCACAGAAAGCTATAAATTTGCAAATATTGCTTGAAATTATATAAATAAAAATATGACAATTACTGAATTTGACAAGTTCATCTATCTTAATAAACATCTCTGAATTAAGGGGAAAAGACTTGATTAGATACTATTTGAACAGTTAAAAATTATACTTAACGGATATATGGAATGCTTATTTTTTAAAATTCCTTTCAAGCATACATAGAACCAGGTCACAAAGCAGACCACTACATACCAAGAATGAATAATATTTGGACTATTTTTAAAAAAAAATAATATAATTAACTTAGAAATAAGTAACAAAAAGACAACTATAAAAAAAAAACCAGATGTTTGGAATATTTAAATGCACCTCTAACATAACAAGTGGATCAAAGCACTAAATTAAAACCAAGTAGAATAAAAGAATAAGGACTAGAAGTGAATGATACAGAACATTAAAGAAATAAAGGTATTTAACAAAACCACAAACTGGTTCTTTTAGATGAGTAATAGATAAACCTTAGTCAAATATTGAGCAAGAAAAAAAATTAGACACATAATAGTGAATGAAGAGAGAACTGAGCATACAACAGAGATTTCAAAATGTAAAGAGAATAAAGCAAGCAACTTTATGCTAATAAATATGAAAAAATTAATAACACACGATTTAAAATATACTTAATTTTAAGTAATGTTGGATAGTATTTACTAAAGCTGAACATAAGCATAGCTTTGAACCAGCAGTTCTACCCCTAGGTATATACCCAAAAGAACTGTGTTCACCAAAAAATGTACCAGAACGTTCACAGCAACAATATTCCTCACAGGCAATAACTACCCAATGCCCATAAAAGTAAATAGTCTTTTCACACAGTGGAATACATACAGCAATGAGAATGAACGAACTATGACACATGCGACAATATGAAAGTTAGCATAATTTGGGGCCAAAGGAGCCAGATACAAGAGTATCTGGGGCCTTCCTGGTGGCAGAAAGAGTTGTCTCAGCACTATGAAGCTATCAGCAGCTACTGCAGCATGAGTTCCATCCCCTGCCAGGGAGCTACCCACATGGCGCAGCAGACCTCTCCTGACTCGCCTGTTGCTCCCCTTAGCAGTGTATTTCAGTAGATCTGCCTGTTCCGCTCCCCACTCTTTCTCTGGTGAATCCTCTCACCCCCCATGCTTCTGGCCTACACCCCAGTTCTTGTGTGCATAAATCTTTTTTTAAAAAAAGTAATACTGTGTCATTCCATATCCTATAAGGATAAAAGTAAGAAAATTTATCCTGTCCACAGTGTGGATTCTCATGTCAGAAGGCACACAGGCATGGCCATATATATCCGAACTATGTTCTAGTTACCTGGACATGTTCACTATGACAATTCATTGAGTTTTACACACATGATTTGAAGTTTTCTGCATATTGGTTTTAGTTCAATAAAGTTTATTTTTAACCAAAGATAAGGTCGATCAACCTATCATGACTAAAGGAAATTGAGCCAACATTATAAAAACTACCCATGAAGAATAAAAATTCTAGGACCAGGTAGTTTTCCTGTTTAATTTCACCAGACTTTCAAGAAACAGGTTATTTTTATCTCATAGGAACTGTGCCAAGGAATAGAAGACAATGACCAACACATTTTATGAGGCTAGAAGACAGAAAGGACAGTGACAAAGTTAGACTTCTCACTTGTGAAAACAGATGTAAACATACAAACATTTTAGCAAAAAAAAAAGAAAAGCAAAAGGTAGAAAATCAATCCCACTGGCTATGTTAATAGATTTAAGAAGAGTTTTAGGTCAGTAGTTCAAAAATGTAGTCTGGGAAAACATACACACAGTTCCATGTGTTAGCATATGCAGTGCATTCAACAAAATTATTTGTATTTGTAAAGCAAAGTATTGGAAACAACCTCATTGCCCAGTAACAGGAGAAATGATAATAGATACAATAGATTACAAAATGCAGTTGGTAAGTCAATCAGTGCAGTCCTAATGGTGAACAGTATGGCGGTTCCTCAAGAAATTAAAAAGAGAACTATCATATGATCCAGCAATTCTCTTCTAGGTGTCTCTCTAAAGACTGTGAAAACACTAATTTAAAAATATATGGGCCCTCCCTGGGATCAAACTCATGCTTCAGTGGCTGGTGATAGCTTGATGGTGCTAAGATTTAACCCCTTGCGCCAGCAGGGTGGCCTGACAATCACTGATTTAGAGCCAAGAGGAACCAGCAGAGTTTCCCGAGGACTTGGTGTGTACAGCCAGTGAGTCTTGTAACTATTAAGCGCCCAGTGTTTGGAGGCTTGGCCACAGAGTAGCTCCTGACCATTCAACATAAAGCTCTTGGAACGAACCTGCTGTCCTGAGGGCACAATTAGCGAATATCCTTAGATCTGAAATAGCCACTGGGTGAAAGGAAGTGAGAGGCACTGGAGAGGGCATTTTTATTCTTTCACTGCTCTACATTCTAGGTCAAAGCAGCAAGTTTCCAGCCTCTGTATTTTGTTTTGTTTTTTTTTCACAAGGAGAAAACAGGAGAAGTCAGGGAAAGACAGGAGTCGGTATTCCAGCATATCATTCTAGTTTTCTTTAAATTTGTGTTAAATATTTTCAATAGTTTCAATGTTTTACTCACCACCACTGCACAGAGGTTATACTTAGGATGTTTCCGAAAAACTGGACAGATGTAAGGAGTAAGGTCCAAGTTAGTGAGTGGGTAATGAATATGTGTTCTCAGTTTTCTTTTCATTGTACCCAGAATGTCAAACCTGGAGAGAGTGTGTGAAATAAAAAGATCGTGAATCATCACTGAAGCCCACATATTTGATAAATTCCAATACAGCTAAAAGTAATTTCTTGGAAATATTCTGTGCAGACCTGTACATAAATCACTTCTCCCCACCCTGCCGATCTACATATATTTTATTATTATTATTATTATTTTATTTAAATTCTTTTTTTTTTTTAAAGATTTATTCATTTATTTATACAAGCGCTGTGTACAGTCAGAAGCGCGGGAGGGTGAGAGAATTCACCAGAGCCAGAGCGGGGAGCAGAGCAGGCAGAAGGACCGAAGCACACTGCTGAGGGGAGCAGCGGGCGGCAGGAGAGGTCTGCGCGCCATGTGGGACCCTCCTCCGGTGGCCGGGGAGCAGCCAGGGATCGAACCGGCGCTGCAGAGGCTGCGGGCAGCTTCGCAGCCCAGCGCTCAACCACTGCGCCACTGGGGAGGCCCTTTTATTATTTTTTAAAGATTTATTTATGCATTCAAGAGGCTGGGGTATAAGCCAGAGGTATGGGGAGTGAGAGGATTCACCAGAGACAGAGTGGGGAGCAGAACAGGCAGATTGACCAAAATACACTGCTGAGGGGACCAGCAGGTGATACAGGCGAGGTCTGCTGTGCCATGTGGGTAGCTCCCTGGCTGGCCGGGAATCAAACTTGTGCTGCAGCGGCTGCGGATAGCTTCATAGGTTGCGTCTTAACCCCTTGCGTCACCACAGAGGCCCTACATCTATTTTAAAACTCTACATCCACAAACCTCACCAAAACTGAAACTGGAGGGGGCACGGAGTAAGACAATACAGAATCAACATGGAAAGGACAAAGCCAGGCTCTCAAGACCCAGGGAAGTAGAAATAATAGTGGTAACTTCCTGAAGACTCCACTCAGCAGATGCTGTCCATGCTGAGCAGCTAATACAGCTTCTCCATGTCTTGGTTTCAGCACATTGTCTTGACAACATGCCGTCTTAGAGCTATGAGGTTTTAAAAGGTCTGGTGAAAATCTTAGGGGCCTCCTTGGTGGCGCAGGGTTTAAAGAGTGCTATCAAGCTATCACCAACCACTGCAGCACAAGTTCGATCCCTGGCCGGGGAGCTGACCCACATGGTGGAGCAGACCTCTCCTGACTCGTCCACTGCTCCCCCAGCAGTGTATTTCAGTCAGTCCCCTTGTCCTGCTCCCCACTCTGTCTCTGATAAATCTTCTCACCCTCCACACTTCTGGCCTATACCCCATCTTTTGTATGCATAAATAAATCTTAAAAAAAAAAAAGAAAATCTTGTCACATTCTCCATTTGTTTATAGATCAGCACTTCCCAAATCTGAGTTCATATTACAATTGCCCAGGAACCTTTCAAAAAATAAAGTATGTCCATTATGATTTAGGTCTTGGCCAGGGGAATGACTAGGGAACCAGAGATAGTCTTGTGCCAAAAAGCAAGAAATCTTGTTTGAAAAAATTAAGGGAGTATCACAGAGACTGTGCCTAGATATGATCTCAAGAAAATGAAGACATGCACATAAAAAACTGTATTTGAGCTGCTCTATTCACATCTGTCCCAAACTTAAAACCTAAATGTTCATTGACTGGTGAATGTTAACCAATTGTGTACATTCATAAAAGGGAAAATTACACAGCAATAAGGAAGGAACCACTACTACTGCAGCCACAGCATGGGATAATCTCAGAAACATTATGCTAAATGAAAAAAGCCAAACTCAAAGGCTACATATGGTTTCACAGAGGACATTCTAGAAAAGGCAAAACAAGGATGGAAATCAGGTTTCCAGGGCTTGAGATCAGGAGAGGAGATTGATTACGAAGGAGATGAGAAAACATTTAGGGGTAATGCAAATAATTTGTTGGCTGTGATGGTTACACGACTGTGTGTATTTGTCAAAATTCACAGAACTGGGAGCCTTCCTGGTGGCCTATGGGTTAAGTCTCAGCACTATCATGGCTACAGCTTGAGTTCGATCCCCAGACAGGGAACTAACCCTGCCTCGCCCACTGCTCTCCTCAGCAATGTATTTCGTAAATCTGCCTGCTCTGCTCCCCACTTTGTCTCGTGAATCCTTTCATCCCCACACCTCTAGCCTACACCCCAGTTCTTCAATGCAAAAAAGAAAAAAAATTTTAAAAAATTCACAGAACACCTGAAAAGGATAAATTTATATATGTAATTACAATCTAATAAGCCTAAACAAACTCACTAATGGGGTCACAGGAGTTGACTTGAAGGGGCTCCCACTAGCCTATTTGAGTAATTTGAATATCAAGAAAAATGACAGTGGGCCTCCCTGGTAGCGCAGGTGGTTGAGCACATGCTGTGAAGCTCTCTGCAGCCTCTGCAGCGCTGGTTCAATCCCTGCCAGCCGCAGAGTAGCCCACATGGCGAGCAGACCTCTCCTGTCTCGCCTGCTGCTCCTCTCGGCAGTATATTTCAGTCAATCTGCCTGTTATGCTCCCCGCTCTGTCTCTGGTGAATCCTCTCACCCTCCCACACATCTGGCCTGTACCCTTGTTCTTATATAAATAAATCTTTAAAAAAAAAAAAAAAAGAAAAATAATAGTGATGAGAACATTACATTTTAAAATGTCCATGAGTCCAGAGTGATACTAAAGTGTGGAAACTAAACCTATATATGGCAAGATCTCACAGATACTACATTAACTAAGAAATAAAAGAGTATCACTAATAATGACACAAAATTTAACTATGTCCTTCCTGATACAATGTGAAGACAAGTATGTAACATCACCTATGCCCAATTCTTGTTTTGAGAAGTCTACCTTGGGGGCCGCCCTAGGGGCTCAAAGGGTTAAGTCACAGCACTATGAAGCTATCACCAGCCACTGCAGCATGAGTTCAACCTGGCCAGGGAGCTTCCCACATGGCACAGCAGACCTGTCCTGTCTCGCCTGCTGCTCCCTTCAGCAGTGTATTTCAGTAGATCTGCCTGTTCTGCTCCCCACTCTGGTGAATTCTTTTACACCCCCCCCCACACCACCCCACACACACCTCTGGCCTATACCCAAGTTGTTGTATGCATAAATACAAATAAATCTTTAAAAAAAGTCTACCTTGAATATAAGCATAAGGAAACAATTAGATAAATCCGGACCTGGAACATAATATAAACAGTGGGTTCTTCAAACACTCAATATGTGGGGGGAAAAACTTTTATAAGAAAGGAGAAAGGACTATTGTAGATTAAAATAGAGACTAAAGAGACAGGCAAATGCAATATATGGCCCTGATTCAATGCTAGATTGGGCAAAAAGTTCTGAAAGATATCTGGGAGGGGAGCAACTTAGATATGTACTGTATCTTAGGTGGTAATTGTTAAATTTTTGACATAAGGTGCGATTATAGAAAAATGTTCTTATTCTCAGGTAATACATGCTGAAGTGTTTAAGCATGACATGCCATGGTATTTGCCTCTTACTGCAACTGGCTCAGCTAGTAAGAGAAAAGGAATGGAGGGAGTAAGACAGTGAGAAACAGAACTTGAAAGAGGGAAAAAAAATGTGGCAGAGTCACCAAATAATGAAGATTTTAGGTGAACAGTACATGAGTATCCATAATATATTAAAATTTTCTGTAGATTTTAAACTTTTAAAAGTTGGGGGGGGATTATTTAAAAAAATATATTACAAATTAAACTGCTTAGACTCCAGAATCAGGATCCCTAATGGTGGGACCAGGAAATGCATTTTTTAAAAAGTACTCAAAGTGACTGAGTGCTAATTTTCCATCTAAAGAAGAACAAATACAATATGATAGACATACAGCCATAAAAAGGAATGAATAAAGACATATCACAACATGGATGAACTTAAAAGACATTATGCTAAGTGAATCTGGCCAGCAAAAATGACAAATATTTTATGATTCCATTTATAGGAAAGACCTAGAATTGGCAAATTTATAGAAACAGATTAAAAGTTGCCAGGGGTTGGGGGAAGAAGAGAAGAATAGGGAGTTATTGCTTAATGGTTACAGAGTTTCTGTTTGGAATGATGGAAAAGTTTTTGAAAACAGTAGTGATTATTGCACAACATGGTGAATGCAATTAATGCCAATGAACTGTATGCAAAATGGTTAAAATTTTATATTATATAGATGTTACCACAGGTTTTACAAAATTAATGTCATACCAAATACCACTGAAATATACACTTAAAATGTGTCCATTCTATGGTATGTGAATCATATCTCAATTAAGTTTTTCCCCAAAAAGCTCCAATATATCAAAATCCATACCTTTTTAAGTGAAAGATAATTATTTTTGGTGCTTTGGAAATACTGGCTCTTACAGCTGTTTCTTGGTTGGTTTCACAAAAGGAGCAATAAATTTGGTTGTTCCAGGTCAGTGTATCTTGTTGAAAAAAACACTGGAGACAGTCCTGTTGAGAAAAAAAAAAATTGTGAGCAAACTGGATCAACTGCAACCTAGGTTTCTGTTATATTAAAATTTTGGAAGCTCTATGGAAATGTAATTCTCAGGACGTTTCTCAAAGTCAACAAGTCCAGGCGATACCAATGTCATCGTAGCAGCCTGGAGAGGGATAAACTCTCCCTGGCAAAGGAGAGGCTGCCTTCCCAGTGAATGAACTAGAGCCATCCCATTTTAATCTCTGTGCCTACAGACCACATGAGGTAGGGCCATAAAATATTGCAAGAAAATATAAATACATATACCAAGCCATCTCAATATACAAGTTGAATAAACTTTTCAAGATTACAATGAGGTTGTTTTATTGAGAACATTTAGAAATACAGCTTGTAGATAGTAATTTTGGCTCTATATTACTTTTCCACAAGACATTGCTATGGAACTACAATTTTTTTTTAAGTTTTTTAAAAGTTATAAAGCAGCCCCCTTCATACTTAGAAAATGTGGAAAACAGGGCCTCCCCTGGTGGCGCAGCGGTTGAGCTCTGGGTTGCGAGGCTGCCTGCAGCCTCTGCAGCGCCAGTTCGATCCCCGGCCACCGGCGAGGGTCCCACCAAAAAAAAAAAAAACAACAGAAAATGTGGGAAACAGCTCTGAGAAAACCCAGAGTCAGGTAGAGAAAGACAAAAGATATCCAGGAAAGAATGGAACAACAAATGTTGGCAAGAATGTAGAGAAAAAGGAATTCTCCTACACTGCTGGTGGAAGCGCAATTTGGTACAGCCTCTATGGAAAGTGGTATGGAGGTACATTTAAAAAATAAAATGGAGGGCCTCCCCAGTGGCACAGTGGGTTGAGCACAGCGCTGTGAGGCCATCTGCAGTCTTTATAGTGTGGGTTCAATTCCCAGCCAGCCAGGGAGATACCCTCGTGGTGAAGCAGACCTCTCCTGCCTCGCCTGCTGCTCCCCTCAGCAATGTATTTTGGTCAGTCTGCCTGTTCTGTCCCCTGCTCTGTCTCTGGTGTGTCCTCTTGCCCTCCTACGCCTCTGGCCTGTACCCCAGCTCTTGTATGAATGGATAAATCTTTAAAAATAAATAAAAATAAAAAATTAAATGGAAACACCACATGATCCAGCAATACCTCCGCTAGGTGTGCATACCCAAAGCACACAAAAACTAATATGAAATGACTTATGTTAGCATTACTCACAATTAGCAAGTCATGGACCCAACCTAACTACCCAGCAGCAGATGACTGGATAAAGAAAGGAATAGTCACTGGAATACTACTCAGCAATTTAAAAAGTCAAAATATGCCGTTTGGGGCAAAAAGAATGGCCTTTAATGTGATAATGCTTAGTGAAATAAGTCAGAAAACGTAAGGCAGATATCAGATGATTTCACTTATCTACGAATATAAATAAAACAAAAAAGCATATACTGATGGGCCTCCCCTGGTGGTGCAGCGGTTGAGCGCTGAGCTGTGAAGCTGCCCACAGCCTCTGCAGTGCCGGTTCGATCCCCAGCCACCGGCGAGGGTCCCACATGGCGCACAGACCTCTCCTGCCGCCCGCTGCTCCCCTCAGCAGTGTACTTCGCTCCTTCTGCCTGCTCTGCTCCCTGCTCTGGTGAATTCTCTCACCCTCCTGCGCTTCTGACTGTACCCAGTGCTTGTATAAATAAATAAATAAATCTTTAAAAAAAAAAAAAAGCATATACTGGCAAACCACAGCAACAACAATTCTGAGGCTTTGCAAAAAAATACCATGTTCACCAAGGGGAATGGGAGAAGATGCGGTTAAGGGAGGGGATGAAGGGCATTGTGGGGTGGGGGAGTTTGGTGGAGGGTGAGAGAAGCACTTATGGAGGCATACTCATGCAACCCCAAAGTTTCAGACATGTAATGACTGACAAATAAAAAATAAAGTTAAAATAAAGCCTTAAAAAAATCCCTACCTTCACTTATAGCAGGAATGTAGGGGAACCAAATAAGACATCAGTGTAAAAAAAAAAAAAATAACAGTACAAAACACAACAAAGCAAAAACAGACAATTATAAACCAAAGACATCCTGCAGGGGAGGAGGAGGGAGAGGATCAGAGGGAGGGAGGGAGGAGCACAGGGGACTGAGGTGATGGTGCACGGGTGCTAAAAAATTATTTAAAAAAACACAAAAGAACTGGGGCAATAGAGCACAAAAAAAAAAAAAATCTCTACCTGAAGAGCACATTCATACTCAGATGGAACGGGGAGGGAGAGGACTGTGAAGACCTCATTCTTGTAGGTGCAGTTCTCACACTTCAGACACACGATGCTGTAATTGAGCTGCCCTTCAAACAGCCGGGTGATGATGGAGGACTCATTGGCAATCATCTTCCTGCAGCATCTTGGAATCGATCCTTTTTCATATGATCGTCTTCGGTGGTACTAAATCAAGACATAAATTTGCCCCAAATCAATACTTGGTTATCAATAAAAAAAAAAGGTTTTATTAGGACTTTTTTTTTTTTTTATAAAGGAGAATGGGTGTTTTTTATTTTATTTATTTATTTTATAGAGGCATGTTTTTATTTATTTATTTGTTTGTTTGTTTTTTGTTTATACATGCACTGGGTACAGTCAGAAGCGCGGGAGGGTGAGAGAATTCACCAGAGCCAGAGCAGGGAGCAGAGCAGGCAGAAGGACCGAAATACACTGCTGAGGGGAGCAGCGGGCGGCAGGAGAGGTCTGCGCGCCATGTGGGACCCTCCTCCGGTGGCCGGGGAGCAGCCGGGGATCGAACTGGCGCCGCAGAGGCCGCGAGCAGCTTCGCAACCCAGCGCTCAACCGCTGCACCACCGGGGAGGCCCTTTATTAGGACTTTTTTTTTTCCCCTCGGAATGAAACACTGCTACCTCAACCCACTTCATGATTAGACAATAAAGATTTTCTTTTTTTTTTTTTTTAGAAACAAATTTTTTTTTAAAGGTTTATTTATTTATTTATACAAGCACTGGGTACAGTCAGAAGCACGGGAGGGTGAGAGAATTCACCAGAGCCAGAGCAGGGAGCAGAGCAGGCATTAGGACCGAAGTACACTGCTGAGGGGAGCAGCGGGCGGCAGGAGAGGTCTGCACGCCATGCGGGACCCTCCTCCGGTGGCCGGGGAGCAGCCGGGGATTGAACCAGCGCTGCCGAGGCTGCGGGCAGCTTCGTAGCCCAGCGTGAAACCGCTGCACCACCGGGGAGGCCCAAGATTTTTTTAACAGTATGTATTATGTGTGGTTTCTGTAAATTGAGTCATTCCCCTCCTTAAGGGAATACACCTTGACTTTTCAAGGACTTTATAGCCTCAGTAGAAGACAGTGAATCCTCACTTAATGTCGACATTCAATACTTGGAAACTGACTTCTAGCAAAACGATTTATAGTGAAACCAATCTGACGACAGGCTGATTGATAGAAATGAAAGTTAAGTTAGGGCCTCCTTGGTGGCGCAAGGGGTTAAGACGCTGTCTGTAGCCACTGCAACACAAGATCTATCCCCAGCCAGAGAGCAATCCACATGGCACAGCAGACCTCTCCTGTCTCACCTGCTACTCCCCTCAGCAGTGTTTTCCGTCAATCTGCCTGTTCTGCTTCCCACTCTGTCTCTGGTGAATCCTCTCACCCCCTACACCTCTGGCCTGTACCCCAATTCTTGTATGCATAAATAAATAAATCCTTAAAAAAAAAGTTAAGTTCTTGTGGCATATTTCTGGTCACAAAAGCATCACCAAACTTCTAAGATCCCAAATACTTCTAACATTAAACAGTCATTTACATTGATTCATCTTCCACCTATTCCAGTTCAGGGTCAATGGTGACCAGAGACTTTCTCAGGTGCTTGGGGATCATTCGATTCCCAGGAAAGTAGGCCTGGACAGGATGGCCACACCCACACCTAGAGACTGGGACAATTTAGACACGTTGATGAGCCTAGTGTGCACACTTTGCAATGAGTCGGGAAACCCACAGATATGAGAACATGCAAATCCACACAGTGACTCTAACCAGGAAGCGGTATTTATTTTTCTCATCAATCTTATTCAATACCTGCCATTTACACCTTGGAGACACCTCAGCCCCACATGCAGCTCTAACTTGGAGCTGTGCACTTGCTTCTTCCATTACATCAGCTGCAAGGTCTCCCACCCTAACTATAATTCCAAGTTTCGCCTTGGGAATAGAAGGCTAATTACTTCATATTGGCTGTACATGAAGATCTAAGTGATTTTTACTGACCACCACCTGCCTCTCTAGCTTACCTTGTCAGTAAAAATGAAAAATGAAACTGCAGGTGAGAATGCTTACTATCATTTGTGATCTTCTATGAGAAGTATTTCCCAAATGTTAGACATGAGGTGAGCTAACATCAGCACAGGGACACTGCATAAAAATCAAGGACATATCTTCCCAGAGTGTGGCTCTCACATCAAGGACGAAGGCAGTGAGTCTTATAAAACCATAGTTACTGGTAATTTCAGGTTTTACTAAATGTATGCCTGAATGCAATTAAGAACTTGGGTTGGGCCTTTTCAGTGAAGAACACTTTGCAGTATATATATCCTTTCATTGGCTACTAAGCTGAATATTTCCAAGGGTTTGTAGTCATCAACATTTAAGTTGCTAAGTCCCATACATTATTTCACGAGGAATATATTTTTTATAAATAAAATGGATTTCAAATTAGGTAAATTGCCTTTAATTGGTAAAAAAAAAAAAACTAGTGCTGACAATTTAAAATGGGTATAAATTATAATTTCTTAAATAGCAGTGTGGATGGTTGTGCTGAAGTCAACAGTCAGCTCTATTGGCAGCAAATCATGGGTCAGGTTTTAAAAACAGTCCAAAGATGCTTCATGGATGGAGCTGGAAGGGATCATGCTGAGCGAAATAAGCCAGAAAAAAAAAGAAAAATACTGGATGGTCTCACTCATAGCAGGAATCAAGAAAACCTAAATAAGGGACCAGGAAAAAGACTAATTATAGTAAAGTAAAAATCAAAATCAACAAGAAACTATAAACCAGAGACACACTGGGTTGGCAGGGGAGGGGGGGGGGCCGGGGGTGGAAAGGGAGAAGGGATTAGGGTCCAAAAAAGGGGGGTGGGAATATAAGCAAGATGAAAATGCATACATTGTGCAAAAATGAAAAATGATGTAAAAAAATACATAAAAGAATTTTAAAAAGCCTGTATGAATGGTGATAGGCTGTTCCCCACACACTCGAGTACAATGGAGCAGCCTCAAACACTCAAGCCTGTCACCAGGGCATGTCATGGTCGCCATGGATTGGGGAACAAGAGGACCATCCTGTTAGTGGGGCTGCTGTTAGACATTTTACCCTTCAAGTTCCTCCCTAGAATCTTAGGTAAACCAAAAAAATTTTTTGAGTCCAGGCCAGAGGTGCTGGGGGGAGAGGGGATTCACCAGAGAGAGTGGAGAGCAGAACAGGTGGATCTACTGAAATACACCGCTGAGGGGAGCAGCGGGCAAGGCAGGAGAGGTCTGCTGTGCCGTGTGGGTTGCTTCCTAGCTGGCAGGGCATGAACTCGTGCCACAGTGGCTGGTGATAGCTTGATAGCGCGCTGTGTCTTTAACCCCTGTGCCACCAGGGAGGCCTGGTAAAATTAAATGTTAATTTTCAGTAAACCAGCTGTCATTTACGCTAACAAGCTGACTAGAATCCACCTGACTAAGTTGGGAATTTGCTTCTTCATGTTTTCTTTTTAATACAAATGCCTGCCTGAGCTCAGTGGTCAAGCTGCATGCATATAACTGGCCAGCCCAAACAGCCTGGGCATCATTAGCAAATGCAGCTGCAGGATGTCCACTACTGAGTCCATGTTAAGGCAGTATGAGTATTTACATGGTAAAACTGATGTCACTTGAAACTTAAGTTCGATCCCCAGCCAGGGAGCTGACCACATGGCACAGCAGACCTCTCCTGTCTCACCTGCTGCTCCTCTCTGAGTGTATTTCAGTCAGGCTGCCTGTTATGTTTCCCACTGTCTCTGGTGAATCCTCTCCCCCTCAACCTGTGGCCTGCACCCCAGTTGGTCTACACAAAAATAAAAAATAATATCTTTAAAATAAATAAAACTGATGTCACTTGATCTTTAGGGAACAGGACCCCCCACCAATACAAGTGGTATTGTGTGTGCAGAGATTGTACTTTTGACATTCAGTTTTGCTATAGAAACAGGATGAGTAAATTTACTGGTTTTTTTGCAAGAGATAGGTAAAATATTCAACTTGATTCTTCTAGAAGGGAAAAGGGAGCTGAAAGGAGGTGTTGATTTTGCAGTCACCACCTGTGTGAATTCTTCAGCTGATTTGTCATCGCCTACTCCCATGGGTATCTGCTGCTCTCAGCATCTGTTTTTCTCCTGTTTGTCAGGATGTGACATTGTAGTTGTGTGGCAGTGACGTAACCATTGCTGACCTTATCAAAGACTTGGAATGCCTCATGGGTTTCTCCTTCCCTATGTTTCATTTTTCTAGCCATCACAGTTAAAAAACCTCAGAAGCTGGGGCCTCCCTGGTGGTGCAAGGGGTTAAGCACCACACTATGAAGCAATCACAGCCTCTGCAGTGCAAGTTTGATCCCCTGCCAGCCAGGGAGCAACCCACATGGCGGGTAGACCTCTCCTGTCTCGCCTGCTGCTCCCCTCAGCAGTGTATTTCTGTCAGTCTGCCTGTTCTGTTCCCCGCTCTGTCCCTGGTGAATCCTCTCACCCCCCTGCATCTCTGGCCTGTACCCCAGCTCCTGTATGCATAAATACATAAATCTTTAAAAAAAAAAAAAAAAACCTGAGAAGGCAATGTTGCCATTACCATCAGTGCCCACTTAGTTGATATTCTGCATTTGGGTGCTGCTGCGTGACCTCAGGACAGTGCCAAGTTTCTTTGTTGTGATGGTTCCATTGCCATCTTTGTCAAATAGAGTGAAAGCTTCCTAGAATTCAGCGATCAGTCGATCAGCTAATAAGCACAGCAGAGTACAGGGAGGGAGGGAGGCTGCATGCACTCAAGCACTTTGACCCACTTTGTGGGTACATAGCTGCCACCAAGGTACCCAACACTCCGAACTTGGGGGTCGGGTAAGGGGGGGGCCCACTGTGAATACCCCCAGCCCAAGATGTCCATCTCAGTATTTCAGACACTGCAACAGTTATTTGCGAAGGGAACTAGATGACTGGATCCCACAGCTGCAGATCCACTGGCCACACCAAGTTAGCTTTCTCAGAAGGCAGGCCCAGACTTTGATTCAGTATCACCGGAGGGAGGGCCTAAGAATCAGCCCTCACTCGTGCAGTGTCCCAGGTGATTCTGATGATCAGCTAAGTTTGGCAAATACAAACTATTTAAATAACCTGAGTCCTCCTGTCCCCAACCACCCCCTCCTGTACTTGTGTGTGGCACAAAATAGGCAGTTGATTGAACAAAAGAATGAAAAAGTTGCTGATAAAGCGGAAGGCTATCTGATTTCAAAGGCCATTAATTGCACTTACCTTTTTCAGAGCTTCATGAAGTTCATTCAGAACATAAATCAAGAATTCCTGGGCGTCTTGTTGCCTCTTTTTCATAAATGCAGGGTACAGGTTGCCAAGAGCTGACCAAAATATTTCCGGTGAGACACAGTCTGAGTCCCCAAGCCACATGTCTGTCATCAGGTAGGCAAAGGCAGTGGCGACCTCACTGCAGTCCCTGGGAAGGAGGAAGGAGCATTATTTCTGGATGGTGAAGGAAGACACTAACTCAAGAGAGTAGCTTCAGACTGAAAATGAAGCTTCATTCACTTCTTGGTTGACCTGCCCACTTTTCTCACCCTAGAAAGGCTACCTGGGGCACTGCTGACTTGTTTTGCCCTGAAGAGGGAGGCCAGGGGTTCCTGCCCCAGCCACATCTTGGGGGGCAGGGGAGGGTATGTGGGCTGGGCTGCTAGGGATGGAAATGGTCTTACTTTTGAAGAGAGGTGATGTACTTTCCGGAGAGAAAATATTCCACCAGCGGCGAGACGCTGCAGAGGCACTGTAAGATGGCATTCATGTAGCAGGTGTTGCCCAAGTTCCGCAGGCCAGTCACCCCCTGGAAGTGGGGCTGGTTCTCATCAGCCTCCTTAGCTGGAAAGGGATCGTAGTTATCTGTGCACTCTGCACTGTGTGGGGCCAGCGGGAAGGAAAGCAAAGCATTTTGAGAAAAAATACATTCAAATGGCTGTTAAGGCCCTCTCAACCTCAAGACACAAAAGTTCTAAGACTTCCACCCAATACATTCCCTAACAAGGGGGCCTCCCTGGTGGCGCAGCGCTGTGAAGCTGTCTGCAGACTCTGCAGCGCGGGTTAGATTCCTGGCCTGCCATGGAGATTCCCACATGGCGCAGCAGACCTCTCCTCTCTCGCCCGCTGCTCCCCTCAGCAATATCTTCTGTCTGCCTGCCTGTTCTGCTCCCTACTCTCTCTGGTGAATTCTCTCACCCTACCGCGCCTTTGGCCTATACCCCAGTTCTTGTATAAATAAAACCTTTAAAAAAAATTCCCTACCTAGTACAGAACTTTTCAAACCTGGAATTCAAAATTGCATTACTTGGGTGGCTAGGTGGGAGATGGAGACCTTGGTGGAGGATTATTGGGGCTTTGGTGGCCGGCATGGTGTGAAAACATACAATTGAGATTTGAACCTATAACCCCTAAACCAAATACAATTATGCAAACCAACTTTATCTCAATGAATATAATTAGAAAATAAGCAAAATTGCATTACTTACTATTAAACTCTGAATAGTATCTGCAATCAAACAAGATAGAGATAAAAGTTTCATCATAATACCATCACAAGAGAACAGAAAGCTTCAGCCTATTAGAGTCCTAGAACTGCTTGGCTAAAAACACAAATGTTCAAAATTTTAAATACCGTCAACCTTGAAATGAAATAAAGTCTTCCTTTGTCAACTGAGGTTATTCCAGAAGTGCAGAGAAATCGCGTTTTACACAAAGTCTTCAGCTCATCAAACTGAGGTTATTCCAAAAGTGCAGAGAAATTGCTACCCCGGGACAAACAACTATGGGGAAACAGGCAAGTTGGAGGTGGCAAAAAGCAGCAGCTTTAATAAGGCTCTAAGGGGAAATTGGGAAGGACTGTTTTGAATAGAAGGTCGTTGAGGCTGAGGCAGTTTCTCATTGGCTGCACGCCTGGGCCTCATGCCTCTGCGCCCGAGGCCTCTAAGAGCTGCAGAGTAGAGGCAGGTGTGTGAGACCCCGCCCTTCACAGCTTCCCAACTCCACTTGGAACGGGGTTTCTTTATCCAGTTTCATGTTTCCCCCTTTTGATGAAGACCTTACCTTAAAAGCATCTACTCAAGAGTCAGGTTCCCCATTTTTAGTGGAATTATGTTGGGACCTTGGGTGCCAGAAAGGACCTCTTCCGGAGGATGTCCCAGGTTAGCGGGAAAGCATAGAGTGACTGGAAACCATGTGAAGCCAATTAGTGCAATAAGGTAGAAGAGAGGACTCAGCAATTTCCACTCTAAAGTTCTTGTCATAAGCACTGGAAATCATCTCAAAGCCATGAGCTAGTAACATTCTATTTGGTGCATCCTCTGCCACTATCAAGGACAGTGCAGGTGTTTGATGGCAGACCCAACAGAGGTTTCCCCCTTTTAAAATGGAATGGGAAATGTCAACAAAAGCATTGTCTTTCCAAGAAAAAGGGAAAAAAATAAGGTGAGATAGTCCTGTTCCCAGACATCTTTGCCTGCAAATTACTAATAGGCATGCAGGTCTCTTCAGAGACTGCGTTACTCCCAGTGGATGCAATTAGGAGCAGAGACATTCAGTGGAGAGTTACTTCTAATCAAGAAAGTGGCGTTTTCAATCACCATCCAAGGTGAAGTCCAAAAAGGCATTGCTCCCACTATGGATGAGGCAGGCAGAAATTGTGTCTCTAAATAAAAATTATCTGTGCTTGTTAGCAGTGCTTACATGAAATTAAAACAATATAGGCATTAGCTTGAGCAAGGAAGAGACTCAAACTTTTAAAGCATTCCATATTAAAAAAACAAACCTGAGATCTGCAACTTACAACAAAATCAAACATTACTACTGCGAACTCTAGCTGAATACGATATCTAACCTTTCTTTCAGTTGTTTCACTGCACTATCTAGGTATTTTACATATTCAGGATGATCAGTAGTAACAAACTAGCTGCACCTGTACTTCTGCACTTGAGTTAGGGTGGATGTAGCTTTCTGACACTTCTCCAGGTGGATCACCACCACCTTATTTTTTTAAAAAGTTTTATTTACTTATGCAAACAAGAATGGGGGGTACAGGCCAGAGGTGTGGGGGGGGGGTGAGAGGTTTCACCAGAGACATAGCAGGGAGCAGAACAGGCAGACGACTGAAATACACAGCTGAGGGGGCAGCAGATGAGGCAGGAGAGGTCTGCTGTACCATGTGGGGAGCTCCCTGGCTGGCCGGGGATCAAACTCGTGCTGCAGTGGCTGCCAATAGCTTCATAGTGCTGCGACTCAACCCCTTCCACCACCAAGGAGGCCCACCACTTTATTTGAAAGGACTGCCATCCACTCTCTGAACTGCTTAAACAAAGAATTTATGGCTTTCTGTAAGAGCTATTGAGTAATTCTGATAGTTTGGAGTATTTCCTTTTTTTTTCTGGACAAGTGATTTAATTATTAGAAATAATAGTAACAAAAGCTATTATGGGTTGAGATAGGCATGGTGCTATGACCTTAGATACTAAGTACTTAGAATTGTTTTCAATAATGCTTTAGGGTAGGAACAATTATATATAAATCTTATTTTGTAGTGAGATATGTTTGAATGGCTTAGTCATTTGCCCATGGTAATACACTAAGTGATATGTGATGGTATGCAGAGAGAAGGAATTATCTACCTACCTATCAATCATCTATCAGTCAAGAGTTATTGGGATTTATATCAGATATTAGGAGTACATGCACAACAAGATTATTTACCATAGCCACAACCTGCAAGCAGCCTAAATCTCCTTCAATGAATGAATGAATCAAGAAAATGTGGAATATACACACCACAAGAAAGGATGAATTACAATTATTGTAACACCATGGAAGGGATTTGAGAGAATTATGTGCAACAAAATAAGTCAGCATCGGGGCCTCCCTGGTGGTGCAAGGGGTTAAGACGCAACCTATGAAGCTGTTTACGGCCACAGTAGCATGAGTTCGACCCCCAGCCAGGGAGCTACCCACATGGCACAGCAGACCTCTCCTGCCTCACCTACTGCTCCCCTCAGCAGTGTATTTCAGTCAATCTGCCTGTTCTGCTCCCCCCTCTCTCTGGTGAATTCTCTCACCGCCCCCACACCTCTGGCCTGTATGCCAGTTCTCGTATGCATAAATAAATCAATCTTTATTTAAAAAATAAGTCAGCATCATAAAAATAAATACTGGACATTAACATAACAGATAATTTACCACATAAAATACTTTCCAGAACTAGTGGACACAACAAACATCCTGAGAGCTTGCTCTGAGGTTAAGAGGAGGGGAAGAGGAAGGGACAGGTGACACAGGGATGGTGGTGTGGAAAAAAGAGTCAACTAGCAACTTTTAAATCCAGACCTTTTTTGTACCTGAAAATGAATTGGATCTTTTTCTCCTAAAAAAAAACTGTGTGTGTGTGTGTGTGTGTGTGTGTGTGCATGTGCATGGCATATAGGCTCACTGAAAACAAAATATATACATGTTAAAAGAATATTTTAAGGGCCTCCCCGGTGGCGCAGCGGTTGAGCGCTGGGTTGCAAAGCTTCCCGCAGCCTCTGTGGCGCCGGTTCGATCCCCAGCTGCTCCCCAGCCACCGGAGGAGGGTCCCACATGGCGCGCAGACCTCTCCTGCCTCCCGCTGCTCCCCTCAGCAGTGTCCTACGGTCCTTCTGCCTGCTCTGCTTCCCACTCTGGCTCTGGTGAATTCTCTCACCCTCCCGCGCTTCTGACCCAGTGCTTGTATAAACAAACAAACAAATAAACAAATAAAACATGCCTCTATTAAAAAAAAAAAAGAATATTTTAAAATGTGTTTGATTAATGTGTGTATATTATACATGTATATACAAGTATATACATACAAATACACAAACACATAGAGGGAGAGAAAGATTAAGAACACAGACTTTATAAAAACATAGATCTTCATTTAAATCCTGACTCTTACTACTTATACGATCTGGGGCTCATATTTATTTCCAGCTATATAATAGGAATAATGCTACCCTGAATTTCGGGGATTTTTGTGAGGATTAGATTAAATGGTACAAGGTGTGTGACACTTACTACATAGTTAGTAAATGGTAACCTAAACATTTCTGGGCCTCCCCGGTGGCGCAGTGGTTGAGCGCTGGGTTGCCAAGCTGCCCGCGGCCTCTGGCGGCGCCAGTTCAATCCCCGGCTGCTCCCCGGCCACCGGAGGAGGGTCCCACATGGCGCGCAGACCTCTCCTGCCGCCCGCTGCTCCCCTCAGCAGTGTACTTCAGTCCTTCTGCCTGCTCTGCTCCCCGCTCTGGCTCTGGTGAATTCTCTCACCCTCCGCGCTTCTGACTGTACCCAGTGCTTGTATAAACAAACAAACAAATAAACAAATAAATAAATAAACATGCCTCTATAAAAAAAAAATGGTAACCTAAACATTTCTAAAAGTGACATCTAGGATGTCCTTTACTGTGAGGTAAAGAATAAGTGTGAAGCCCCTGGACCTGCAGAGGACACAGTGCACTACCCAGGAGTCCTCCTTGGCTCACATGGAGCTTCCTTTTGTGATGTGACCATTGCACCAGGCAGCCCAATGTCTATGTTCTTTATGATTTTTCTTTCCATGTACAGCATTTAAAAATGGGTGTCCATGAAGCAGCTATTTATAATTTTGAAAAAGTGAAATATTCACTGTTGGTCACTTTCACTATATTTACCGATGCTGTGGGAGGCCCTGGACTGTGACTCTTTAGGAATGTCAATTACCTGGATATTAAATAAGGTCTTCCCTTCCTGTGGGGGGAATTCCAATGGGTCAAACCTGAGGAGACCCTTGTGTCCCTAAAGCCTTTGAGAATGGCCCCTTCCCATCAACCCTAATCCCCAACTGAGCTTATCAGAAGGCTTATTAGAAAGCCGTGCTAGACAGATGCTCACAGGACATAGTAGACACGGAAGTCATCTGAGGGGCAAGGCTGCCGCGAAGTCATCTTAGTGGAGCAGTGATGGACTTTCACTTCTATTCAGGAACTACGTTTAATCCTTTCAACATCATTTCTTCTTTGAGCCTTTTGCTTTGGCTCTTTTTGTTTGTGATGAACAATGGCTTTTCTCCCCTTTCAGTATCTGCACACTGATTTCATCTGTACTTCAGTCTCCAGTCCAGCTTGGACTTTTCCATACATCATAATCCTTTCCATTCACCCTCAAGATTCTAGCATGTTGCCAGGAGATACTACTTGGTTACTAAAAACTTCAAAAAAATTAGATTTCAGAGAATGAAGGGAACATACAACTTTCTTCCTCCATCATTCAGCTTCTCTTCTGTATTAGACACAGACATAAAAGCTTTACCTCTCCTGAGTCAGTGGAACTGTGGCAATTTGGCCCTTTTGGGCACTCATCCTGGGCACCCTCCTAGTGACCGAACCTTTCCCAGCACCCAAGGGACTCTTTCTCACTCTGGGGATGGAGGCAGCTGAATTTTGCTGCTTTCAGAAATGCACAGCATTGGGATAGACTGCAATCTTTCCCTTCATGGTCATCAACTATTGTGCAAAGGGGTATAGGTGTGTGCGCATACACACATACACACACACGCGCGCGCACACACACACACACACACACTACTGCCACACAAGGTATAAAGGGCTTATCGTCTAAGAATGTCTAAGCTGAGAAGCAGTAGAGCTCACAACATCTCCTGAGCCCTCATTTTCTTCACAGTAAACTGTGCTTAAAAATCACTTATGCAGAGAGGAATCCCCTGTCCCCAGGTCTCTGTCTGGATATTGGGGTCAGAGAACAAAAGCGATAGAAGGCTGTTTGTGGAAGTGGTCTTTAAGACCTCTCAAACCAGCCTTTTCTTCCTTTGAATTAACTCAGAATCTGGACAAATGAAGGGAGGAGGTAAAAGAAAGAAATTTTGAGGGTTAATCTATTTTGTCTTTTCTTAAATGCGCATCAAGTAAAATGAATGCGGGAATTAAAGAAAAACTGCAAAACTGTCAATGTCAAGAAAAATGAAAGCTGAGAATTATTCTAGGCTTAGAAGAAACCAGAGAAACAAGACAAATATACCTAATTCTGGATTGGATCTTGGATCTGAAAAAAAATTGCTATATAACATTATTGGGACTGGTGAATATGGATTGTATATAGGAATAGCTTTATATCTATGCTGAATCGTTTGGATTTCATAAAATTGGGCTCTGAATGCCCTTGTTCTTAGGAAATACATGCTGAAGTATTTTGGGATGAAGTATTTTGGGATGAAGGGGCCTGATATATGTAATATGTTCTTCAATGGTTCAGGAAAACGACAGACATGAAGAAGGGAAGAAAAGGGGAGTAATAAAGCAAATATGAAGCAGATGCAGTCAAACCAGTATTTGGAGACTGGGTGAAGGTATACTTGGAATTCATTGTATCATTCTTGCAACAATACTGTAAGATCACAATTATCTCAAAGTAAAAAGTTAAACACAAGAATTTAATAGGTTTATTTGTAATATCAATTTCTCTTTGAGATATACTGGCAGGTTAAAAAAAAAAGCAGATGTTGGAATATGTTATAGTATGTTTCCCAATTAAGTACAAATGATTAAAAAACATACACATACCTTCCCAGGCTACATAAGTTTTAAGAACAATCATTCTTTGACACCTGGAAAAGGGAACCTGGCACTAGAACGACCAAATTTTGCAGATATTTGATGTTTGTTATCTAATCAAAGAGGTGCTTCTTTTGTTTTTAATTTTATATGTATATATACACACACACACACATATATATATATAACATCATCCTTCATTTTTGTGCAATGTATGATTTCCCATGAAATTCCCACCACCAATTCCCCCGTGCACCATCACCATAGTCCCTTGTGCTCTTCCCTCCCTGTCCTGATTCTTTCCCCTCCTCCTCCCCTACAGAATGTCTCTGGTTTGTGGTTGCCTGTTGGTTTTGATTTTTTTTTTTTTTTTTTAATATTAAATTTATTTTTATATTCCCCCATACAATTGCAAACGCCCCATTCTGACCCCAATCCTTCCCTCCCGCCCCCACCCCCAAAAAGTGTCTCTGGTTCATAGTTTTTTGTTGATTTTGATTTTCACTTTCTTATATTCATTTTCCTGGTCCCTTATTTAAGTTTTCTAGATTCCTGCTATGAGTGAGACCATCCGGTATTTTTCTTTTTCTTTTTGGCTTATTTTCGCTGAGCATGATCCTTCCAGCGCCATCCATGTTGCTGCAAATTGCATGTGTTTATCTTTTTGAATGCTGAGTAATATTCCATGGTATATATGTACCACATCTTCTTGATCCAGTCATCTACTAAAAATATGGAACGCTTCACGAATTTGCGTGTCATCCTTGCGCAGGGGCCATGCTAATCTTCTCTGTATCGTTCCAATTTTAGTATATGTGCTGCCGAAGCGAGCACTGGTTTTGATTTTTATTATAGTTATTTTTTTTCCTGATCCCTTATTTGGTTACTCTACATTAAAGAGATGCTTCTTTTTTTTTTTTTTAAGATTTATTTATTTATACAAGCATTGGGGTACAGGCCAGAGGCGCAGGAGTGTGAGAGAATTCACCAGAGACAGAGCAGGGAGCAGAACAGGCAGAAGGACTGAAATACACTGCTGAGGGGTGCAGTGGGCCAGACAGGAAAGGTCTGCTGAGCCATGTGGGAATCTCCCTGGCCAGCTGGGAATCGAACCTGTGCTGCAGAGGCTGTGGACAGCTTCACAGTGCTGCACTCAACTGCTGCGCTACCAGGGAGGCCCTAAAGAGGTGCTTCTTGAAGTCACCTTTGTGTGGTTCTGCAGGACTTGAATCCTATCATCCCACTAATTTGTCAGTGAAGCCTGCCCAAATCCTTCGGTTTCTTATAATCAAAGGAATCTTGTTAACATGATATGTTTGATATTGGTAGGTAAGAATATAATTCTGGGCCTCCCTGGTGGAGCAAGGGGTTAAGACGCAACCTATGAAGCTATCTGCAGCCACTACAGCACGAGTTCGATTCCCAGCCGGCCAGGGAGCTACCCACATGTCACAGCAGACCTCTCCTGTTGCACCCGTTGCTCCCCTCAGCAGTGCACTTCGGTGAATCTGCCTGTTCTGTTCCCCACTCTGTCTCTGGTGAATCCTCTCACCCCCCACACCTCTGGCCCGTACCCCAGCTCTTGTATGCATAAATAAATCAATCTTTGGAAAAAAATATAATTCATATTCATTTGTTGATCTTGTATCCAGGAACTTTTCTAAACTTGTCTAATTTTTTTTTAAAGATTTATTTATTTTATTTTATTTATTTATTTATACAAGCACTGGGTACAGTCAGAAGCGCAGGAGGGTGAGAGAATTCACCAGAGCCAGAGCGGGGAGCAGAGCAGGCAGAAGGACCGAAGTACACTGCTGAGGGGAGCAGCGGGCGGCAGGAGAGGTCTGCGCGCCATGTGGGACCTTCCTCCGGTGGCCGGGGAGCAGCCGAGGATTGAACCGGCGCTGCAGAGGAAGCTGCCCAGCGCTCAACCGCTGTGCCACTGGGGAGGCCCAAAACTTGTCTAATTTTTAATGGGTTCTTTGGATTTTCTACATTCACTTGCAAAAAACCAGTCTTATTTTTTCCCCTTCTAATCCTTATGCATTTTACTTTCTGAACTAGCTAGCACATCCAGTAAAATGTTGAATAAAAGTGGGGCTAGTAGGTAACTTTAGCTCAATCCTGAACTCGGAGGGAATACTGAATAATTCACCATTGAGTATGTTTGCTAAAGGCATGTGGAAAATGTCTATTCAGACTATTTGCCCAGTTTGTTATTTTGTCTCCCACTTTTTTTGCCCAGTTTTAAATTGGGTTATTATTGGCTTGTGAATTTTTTTTTTTTAAATCTTTTTATTTTTTTTTTTATAGAGGCATGTTTTATTTATTTATTTTGTTTGTTTGTTTGTTTTGTTTATACATGCACTGGGTACAGTCAGAAGCGCGGGAGGGTGAGAGAATTCACCAGAGCCAAAACGGGGAGCAGAGCAGGCAGAAGGACCGAAGTACACTGCTGAGGGGAGCAGCGGGCGGCAGGAGAGGTCTGCGCGCCATGTGGGATCCTCCGCCGGTGGCCGGGGAGCAGCCGGGGATCGAACCGGCGCCGCAGAGGCCACGGGCGGCTTGTGAATTTTAAGATTTTATTATGCTTATAAGAAACGGGGTATAGGCCAGAGGTGTAGGGGGTGAGAGGATTCACCAGAGACAGAGTGGGGAACAGAACGACCAACTTGGAAGACATATGTCTTCCAAAGGATGATATTTTGTTAAAGGCAATCAAAAATAACCATTATTAAATCAATATTGATTTATGAAAAAGTACTGGGAAGCCAGGCCTCCCCAGTGGCATAGCGGGTTGAGTGCAGCACTGTGAAGCTGTCCGCAGCCTCTGCAGTGTGGGTTCAATTCCTGGCCGGCCAGGAAGATTCCCACATGTGTGGCAGACCTCTCCTGTCATATCTATCCGTTGCTCCCCTCAGTGGTGTATTTCAGTCAGTCTGCCTGTTCTGCTCCCCGCAATCCCCTGGCCTGTACCCCAGCTCTTGTATAAAAATAAATAAATCAATCTTTAAAAAAAAAAAGTACTGGAAAGCTGTCATGCTATTGCTGTTAAGAGGCAAGTTTTCCAAAACTCCAATTTTCTCTTGAAAGCTCAAATTTTAGCATTCACAATTACTGCCTCATTACAAGCCTTATACTATCAAGTACTAACGTCTGAATAACCCTGGTTTACCACTCAAAATTCTTTCAACTAGAACGAAAAGAATTGACTAGTTCCGTTTGAAATTCATAGTTACAGTAAGTGCTTTTCCTTAAATACCATATCATGATTTAGCAAAAGGTCTTGTGCATATTTTCTTTCACAGGAAATTGAAAATGTGTTAACAGGTTAAGATTAAATATTAACCTTTTTATCAAAGATATTTCAAATGAAATGGACTTAAGAAAATTTGGGGTATGAGGGAGAAGAACGACTATAGTTTGTTGTTACTACCTTAATTCATGCTAAGGTACCAGTAGTTTTACCCATCAAAACTCTCACTATAATGAAAAAGGCAAGTTATCTTAGAATTTTAAGTAATTTTGACCTTGAGTGCTCCTGGACAATGTCTTAGCGATCCTCAAAGATCTG